GTGAGCCGACATGGCACGGCCTGCTACAGAACCGGAGGCCCGCTGGTGGCCGGGGCAGCCGGCCTGCTAAGAGCCCTACCTCTTAGATGCGGCGCCCTCTCTCCCTCACGTGCCGTCGATCTCTCCCTCCTCCACTCTCTCTCCCTCCGACCCTCCCTCCACTCTCTCCCGACGCAACAACGGCGCCCCTCTCCCTCCCTCTCGCGCGGCCCCTGCAGCGGCGCTCTCGCGAGGAGGCGGCGGGATCCGGCACTCCCCTGCAAGCGGCTGACGAGATTCGGCCTGAGGAGGTGGCGGCACGGAGCAGGGCAGCTCTCCTCCGGCGCGGACGTCTCTGGGCAGGAGCGACGCGGATCTCCTCCTCCGTGGCGGATCCGCTCCCCCCGTCCTCCCTCCCTCCTTCTCCGGTGGATCCAAAGAATGCAATGGCGGCGGATCCCACACGGCAGCACAGATCCGGCCAAGATGCGATGCGCTGGCCTTGGCCTCCTCCTCCTGATCCGGCGTCGATCTCCTCGGCGGCGAGCGGCGTCAACCCCCTACACCTCTCGAGCGGCGTCGCCCTTCCCTCTCTCTTTGTCGGTACCAGCCGGTGGGCCTCGGGCCGCACGACCCGTGAAATTGGTCGTGCTTCTCGGCCGGACTCGACGTGGCAATCGCCCATAGTGTCGCGTTCGCAGTCGGAGGCCGTGCCCGTGGCCTTGTGAGGCACGGCCCGGGAGGCACGTCGTGTCGTGCCAGCCCGACCCCCATGGGGCCGTGCTTTCACAGGCCCGTGCCGTGCCGGGCTGGGCCGGCCCGTTGGCCATCTATGGATAAAATCCATATACGCGACTGCCTGAAAGTGCTGTTGTTCAGCTTGTTTTTTTTACAACCTGTTGTTCAACTGGTTTGCTGTGCTGCACAGGATGGTGCAGACTGCAGTTCTCCTGTAATCTTTGGCCCATACGCCTGCTCGTTTGAGCTTGTTTGGTGATAAGTCGTTCTTTGAAAATCTTGTCGACCGATTTAGTGTGAGAGAAAATATCGTTAGTTTATGAAAAAGACGACCCCTAAGCCAAACAAAGCTCAAACGAACGGTCCCCGCTATCCTACATATACGTTTTCATTCACGTGTACGTACTAATTGGTACCTGAATGAATGTCTGCTTCTTGTGCCGTGCGAGTCGGTCGCCTTTCAGCTAGCCCTTCCAACTATTTTATCCGTGTGGGACTGCCAATCCGAGTTATGGTTCGTATTTATCCCCAGTACGATCGATCGAGTAGGAGTAGCACACCAGCAGCAGAAGTTGAGACCAACATTAATTTCGATTTCGATCCTCCTTAGACAAGAGTCAGGATCTAGGTTACCCGGCTGGTCCGTTCGCTTTCTTCAAAAAATAAGTTGAAACATCTGTTCCAAATTTGATTTATTGTGAGAAAAAAAGCATTAAAAAAATAAGCTAAAAAGATGAATTATAAGATAAGCGAAACAGAATTTATATAGTCGTATGATGTGTTATATTAATAGTTGTTAAAAATTCATATAGCGTTGTACCACGCTAGCTACCAATCTAGGTTACCTGGCTCGAAGGCCAGATGACCGTGCAAGTCCAGCCAATTTCTCCGTCGAAAGAGCAATTTCGAGCTGGTGATCAGAAAGTGTCGCCTGACAAACATTCTAAGAAATTCACAGAAGCCGCTGCGTGAATAATTAATAAACTTCCAAAAGGAGAGTGTAAGACTAGCCACAACATTGGTTTTATCGAAGCTGAAAGAAGTAAGAGAACGTTGAAGCGTTGAAGCATCGAGTCATGCCATTGTGTGAATCGATGCTGAAGAGAGAGAAAATACAAGCATCGAGTAGTGTTCTCGCTTCGATGCTAAACAAATAAAAAAATATTTCTCAACTGATGGATGTGTGAAGGCAGAGAAAGGAATGCTGTAAAGTTCTGACAATTTTGGACACCCACATGCCCTCAAGCATCAATGCAAAACGCTGTAATCGATCCATGGTTTTGGCCATCGGCATGATTGGAGATTCTTTTCTGCACTGCTCACATTGTGGCCAGTCTAATATTCACGAGCTCACACAGGTAACGAAGAGACCAAAACATTCACATGTTTGGCACTTTAGCTCTCAGTATGTGTGGAGCATATTATTGCTTAAGACTGTATCTTTGTTGCTGAGTAATAATAAGTAGAAGTCAGCTTCAAAAAAATAATAATAAGTAAAAGTCTTTGTCTTCTTGAAAAAAAAAACTCCCAATAAGCGATATAGGCTTCGTCCAATTAATAAGTTGGCCTGACCATAGTCGGCCCATTAGATAAGGCTGCGATTTGAGCTTGGCTGGTCCACGCGCTATCGTCCAAGCCCAGCCCAGTCTATCCCTGGCAAGCCGTTTCTAATATATATTTTTTTAACAACGAAAGGCCATAGGCCACCAAAGCAAACACATCTCCTAATCTGTTATATTACCACCTAAAAAATACGGACCGCTTTCGTCCAACCCCCGTTCGTGAGCGCACCCCTACAATCGGTTCTCCACCCTCCGCACGTGATCCCCTGGTTTCCTTAGAGAAACCGGCCTCCTCCGCACCAGTGGCGGATCTAGGATTTCGATCATGGGGGTACGGACTAAAATGATCGATATTGAAATGATATAATTCGATTAATAAAATAGTTGTAAAGATATATAAATGAAACAAGTTATATTTTTTCATTATAAGTTCGCAACTAATTCTTATAAATTATTATAATAGAAACTAAATCTTCACAAGCCATTCCATGATTCTTAAAAGCGTTTAATGACGCGTCTTCATTGCTTACACATTAGAAAAAGTCATGCGAGCTCAATAAATATGATAAAAAAAATCATTTAAGTATTGATTGCCCATCTTGTTTTGAAGCGATTGTGCTTGTTTGTCTCAATAAGTCTGAGAGGGATCTCACTAAAATTCTTTGCTTATCGGAAACTTGTGTAGTTACACACATCAACAACAAATATATTAAGTGGCAAAGAAAGTTGGATCATACTTGTACCCGTGAAATCTTGGGATAAAATTTTGCAAGTTCAATAAAATTTTCGTTGTCATAAAAAGCAAAGGAAATCACTAGATTCAAAAGCAACAATGCAAACAAGAAGCTCTGTGTGAGACTTTTGCTACTTAACAATATATTATATTATACGTATATAATGTATTAAAGGGTATATGAACAGTATTTTTGCAGAATTTTGGGGTACAGCTGTACCCCCATGCACCTACTGTGCATCCGCCCCTGCTCCGCACTAGCTCCTTTTTGAGACTTTTCCCTGTGTGCCATTATAAAAGATCGTAATCCTCTTTGTGCCCCTGGAAAAATTCAGCGGTCTTCAGCGCCACTACTTCAACTTTTTCGGGTCCTCCATGCCACTTCCGTCAGTTCAGGCTCTAACGCCGTCAAACTACAGGTGTGAAAAGACGAAAATGCCCTTAAGTTCAAATATGTTATTAATTTTTTTTGAGCATCTTAACGACTTCAAATGAAAAAACTCAAAACTAGAAAGTTGTAGATCTCGTCGAGATCTATAATTTTCATATAAAAATTATTTTCATTTAATTCCGCAAAAAAAATATGATGATTTTTCTAAGATATATTAATCATATCAAATCATATTTTTTTTGTGGAATTAAATGAAAATAATTTTTATATGAAAATTATAGATCTCGACGAGATCTACAACTTTCTAGTTTTGAGTTTTTTCATTTGAAGTCGTTAAGATGCTAAAAAAAATTAATAACATATTTGAACTTAAGGGCATTTTCGTCTTTTCACGCCTGCAGTTTGACGGCGTTAGAGCCTGAATTGACGGAAGTGGCATGGAGGACCCGAAAAAGTTGGAGTAGTGGCGCTGAAGACCGCTGAATTTTTTCAGGGACACACAGGGGATTACGATCTTTTATAATGGCACACAGGGAAAAGTCTCCTCCTTTTTAGGAACCCGGCTTCAATCCATCAAGGAAACCAAAATCCCCTGGCTCATGAATCCGCATCCTATTCGGTTTCGATACGAAGACCGAATCCACGTGTCCGTGTCCAATACAAAGTTCTTCGAGCTAACGCGTTCACATCCCATTACTATGGTTCGGCGAAAATTCGTGACCACCGTACAACGTACGGGCATATATCTGGTTGCAATACAACTATGCAAAGCGTCGTGCCGTCACGGATCCCTTCAAAAGTGGGGGTGAATGTTTTCTTTTTCCTGGGCTATTCTGAAATCAGATTAAGTGGGTGAATGTAATCTTTTTCCTGGGCTATTCTGAATTCTCTCATTCGTATCGTACCTGATGAAAGGGATGTAGCTTTTAAAACTCAATCTGCTTTGTACAAGCCAGAAAAAGAAAAGGCGTCCAAGAAATTAGTCATATCTCATTACAGCAAACTTCAATTTTTACATATCGACGCGAACAGGGATTTAAGATAGAACATCAACCAGACTCTCAATTTCAGAAATGTCGGATTCTTGCAATCTGCAATGTCTGATCTTGAAACTATGCATGCAATCTGCAATGTCTGAACTTGAAACTAGTCAGCAGTTCCGGACTCCTCGGTGCTCGATGATGCACTCTTCGTACTTCCGATCAACTCAAGCAGAAAGTAGATTATCTCGACTACGGCCATCCATATCCCGTCCAACCTTATCTGAAAGAAAATTACAATTTTTACGAGCGCAAGATCAGCAGGACTCTGTGCAGGCTTCATCGTTTCTCTTCTCTTACATACAGACATGGCAAACAGAGACAGACCCTCATACTCCTTGGCCTCGTTTAATCCTTTGATTGAAGGACAAATTAATCATAAGCAGTAATAATAAGGGTATGAGAAATTAAGAATCCAATCTCGTTACACGAAATGTCTGAATTTCTTATCTCGAACTCGAGGCCATCCATCCAGACTATAAATTGAAGGCCAAAACCACGTGGTCATGCATCCAATCCAACACGCAAAGCGCCATAGCATCGTCCTCCAATTCGCCATGGCTTCGCCCAAGCTCATCGCTCTGTTCTTCGCCTTCGCCATGGCGGCGGCGGCGCTGCAACCCTCGGAAGCGGGGAGGCTCCAAGTCCAGCAAGCATTCAAGCCCGTGGCCGCAGGCCAAGAAGCAGCAGAAAAGGTGGCCGACCAAGCAGCCCATCGACGACACCTCCGGCGGACCCGGCATCCCGCTTGTAACGATACTGGATGTATATTATAGGATCACGGAGAAACACAAGTAGCTAGTCTAACAAGGATAAGGTAGTAATCGATCTCGAGCAGATGCTCGCCGCCGTCTCGAGCCATAGCTCGCCTGTTTTTCGATTACAACCAAATCAAGTCTCTCCTTGCCTCTCCCCTCCCTTAAGTATCCTCATGTATTACAGCTGTAGAGAAACAGCCATTCACCCGATGCAACGGGGCTTGGTCAGGTGTTTCATTCTGAGCCGTCGTAATGTGTGCTGGGCTTCCAAGTCTTCCTAGCTCTTGGGCTCTTCTGGGGTGTCTGCAGCCTGTACCGTGACATTCCCCCCTCCTTGAAACACGGCTTATCCCTAAGCCGTTGTGGAAGTTAGCTTCCGTGGAACTTGATCTACATTGACCCAGGTGGATATTTCAAGTTTTCAACTAGTAATTCAGCCCACTTGAGTAGAACCTGAGTAACTGCTCTGTTTGATTTGCATGGAAGGTGGTATGCCACTATCTCCAGAATCTGCACATCAGAGACAGTTGATGGTAACGAGGACTCAATATGAATTGTATCTGCTGCTATCGTCAGTAGTGCAATATGAGTGTATAGCAGTAGCGTCAGGTATGCAATTCGATCAGCTCTCACTGCTTCTTCAGAAAGGTCAATACAGACTGCTTGGATAGTGGATTGGCCAATAATTGACTAATTAATGTTACGAAGAGAAGCTGTCACCCATAATTCACTCAGCATGTAGGTTATAGGGGTTCTCAGGTACACAACCAGATCATGTTGACGGAATTGGAAAGAAACCCAAAGTCTGAGTTGTCGCTCGTCTGAATCTTCAGTGCTGTTCTCGTTCACCTCGAGTAATTTGAGCTCTTGCTGCTGCCAGCATATCCTCTGTATTTGCACCCTTGTAACAATTTCAGCATACTTGATGTCATGTGGCGTCCAATATGTATCAACAGAATCACTGAACTCTATAAAAATCCCAAGCTGATGCAACACTTGAAGCACCATGAGTGATTGGTCGACTTTCTTTGATGAGGTGCGAGCAAAAATCAGAAGCAATGCCCAAACAGAACAAGTATCCTTGATGCTTGCAACAGAAATTAAGTCCACAGTTTTCTTGCAAGGTAGCAGCCACACAAGCATAAATTGCACTCCTGTTGGACTGTACAACTGATATGCACTCATATTATTCCAGAGTAGCCATAGATTAACCTGTGCTATTAACCATCCACTTTTAATACCTCCACACGCCATCTTAGTTACAAGCACCATACAACCAATAGCATATGTCACCAAATTGCAGTGCCCATGAGTTAAGTTGCCCTCACTCAAATCAAGTTGTGCATCAGTGCATAGTTCCCCTCCTGCTGAAAAGCGTAACTGCTAACCAAGTGCATGCAGAATCTTTGAATGTATGGTGGCCAAGGTTCAAATTCCCATGAGACTCCAGAGAGCAATTTGTAAAGCACAGGATGGGTAGAACTTGTTACTAGCATAAGAGCAGCAAGAGCACTAGGCTTGTACAGTCTAGAAATAACTCTGTACTTTTCTTGGGATGGAGATAGATCAGGGAAACTTATCTGGTACTTCATCTAAAAGTACGTGAGTAAATAAAATCCTCCATTCAAGAGCATAGACATGCCTGCAACTGGAATCTCAGTGAAAAGCCAAAGCTGGCAAAAAAACTGACAGAAATAGATCAACAGCTCCATTTCTGTTGCCCTCATCAACTTGTGCATCACTTTGAAGAAATCGAAGCCAATGCAGCTTGCACATGTGGGTCTCCCAATATGCCTCTAAACATGAACTCCTGTATTTGGCCAACCCAAGCCACAACTGATGCATGGCTGCAGCATTATCAAATTTTGTTTAGGTGGTGGCCACGGTTGTTTCAGCTCTAATACCTCCACCATCCACAAACTGAGCACTGCAGCTGTTTGTACTCTGGCATAATCTTGGTTGTCATTGACAAGCTTACCAAGTATGCACACTTTATTTGTTTATCTCATCCATATACTGCTATCACTGTGGCTCAAGCATTTCTTGCCAACATTTATAAACTTCATGGCATGCCCACTGTAATTATATCTGATAGAGACCGAGTCTTCACTGGCTCCTTTTGGCAAGAGCTATTCAAACTCACAGATACAACCTTAAACATGAGCTTAGCCTATCACCCTCAAACCGACGGTCAAGCTGAGCGTCTTAACCAATACTTAGAAACATACCTACGGTGCATGATTCAGTCTTGTCCCACCAAATGGGCTCAGTGGATACCACTGGCTGAATTTTGATACAACTCAACCTATCATTCTGCTCACGGCCTAACCCTGTTTCAAGCTTTATATGGACACAAACCTCGGCATTTTGGCATCACTATCTCGGATGTGTGCACTGTACATGACCTGGATAATTGGTTGCATGAGCGTCAGTCTATGCTTGATCATATCCAGCAGAACTTGCAGCGTGCTCAACACTGCATGAAAAATCAGGCTGATAAGAACCGTCAGGAACGGCAATTTCAAGTGGGAGACTGGGTGTATGTCAAGCTTGAGCCTTATGTGCAACAGTCTGTGCAATGTAGAGCTAATCAGAAGTTGAGCTTCAAATACTTTGGGCCTTACCTCATTCTTAGAAAATCGGTCAGGTGGCATACAAATTACAGCTCCCGGCTTCAAGCCAAATTCACCCCGTCATTCATGTGTCTCAACTGAAAAAGGCAGTGCCTCCTCAGGTGACTGTTTCTGCTGATGGTAAACTCAATCTGCTGACTCTTTTTATTAGGTTGCCTCCAGCTCGAGTGTTGGGTACCAGACTTCAACTGGTCGGACGACACGTGGTGTCTGAAGCTCTGGTGCAGCGACAGTCCTGCCCAACACACTGGGCGCAATGGGAGCCGCTGGCTTCGCTGCCCCAAGCACTGTCTGCATCGGCTACAGCTACTTCTGTTCCGTCTACATCACGAGGACACGATGCTGCTTAAGGGGAGGGGAGGGGAGGGATGTCACAGACTGCTTATAGTTACCGTTAATTGATTTGAGCTTTCACTTGAAAGGGCCGACGGCACGTGGGCCGCAAGGTTGTATCGGGCCAAAGCCTACGAATTCTTAAACCTTAAGATTCGCTGCCAGGGTGGTCAGGTGGTCATCGAAAATAACAAACAAATTCCCAATTCCCTCCTTCTCTTCCGTGGCTTCCCTGCTCGAGACGGGGACGCCATGCTCATCGCCGTGCGTGCTCGCCGGCAACCCTCTCCCACGGCAAGGGTCGCCACATGGCCTACCTCCAAACCTACTGGCCGCGATCCTGGGCCTGCTTTTCCCGGGGCTGGGCGGCATCATCGGCATGTTGCAGCCCCTGATCCCCGCTCCTCCCGCCGCCGGGGTCGTCGTCTCCGCCTCTCCAAGGCGGCGGCGGCAACCTGGGTGCCAGCTTGACGACGTTCTCATCCCCTCCGCCGCCGGCCCAACCCCAGCCGGAGGAGTGCATGACGCCGCTGGTGGGGATGCTGCCGTGCACGGACTACCTGACCAACATCACCGTGCTGACGCCCCCCGGCGAGTGCTGCGACGGGCTCAAGTCCGTCATCAGGGACGCGCCCATCTGCCTCTGGCAGGGCATGAACGGGGACATGAACCAGTTCTTGCCCAAGCCCGTGGACCCGATCCGCATGCTCATCCTCCCGCTCGCCTGCGGCACCGTGCTGCCGCTCCAAACTCTCTTCGCATTCAACTGTAAGTTATTACAGTGCCTCTCGCGTTATGAGATTCCACAGATTTTATGTATGCTTCCTTCCGTCGCAAGGAGATTAATCTGGTGACGCTGATGCTTGTTCGTTCATATTTGATTGACAGCGCAACAGGTGCCGCCGATAATGCCTCCTACGCCAGCAGAGCCGCCGGTGACAACTCCTTCAGCGTCACCGTAGATGGTTTCATCGAGTTTAATTAGATGCTGGGAGATCCAGTAGTGTCTTCTTAGTTTTAAGATGGTATTAGATCATATAGTTTAGAAAGTCGTTATAGAGAGTACATGGTGGAGTCAGAGTGGTACTCGGGTGTGTTTGGTGTTCGTCCCATGAATTTTGGTGGAACCAACTCATATCTCAAGCATATACTAATTGTTAGCTTGTGTGGAATGAGCTGGTGATGCATCAACTCATTTCATCCCACAAATCAAATACAAAAAGTGAGAAGTGAGAATATGATAGACCACCCATTTCTCAAACCAAACACACTCTAAGTCGTTCAGTCGCTTGGAATCGTCAATATAATGGTCAAAGATTTTCTGCCTTAGAGAGTTACCTCGATGTCATTATGTGGTCGTGACTTTTATTTGCTTCTTACTATGAACTGTGATCGTATATATATATACTTGCGCCCGTAGAACCAATAGCGATATTGCCAAAGCTGAATGCTCTGAAAGTCTGAATTATAATAGGACATCGTTATTCTCCTTTTTTTCCTTTTTTCAGAAGACTTTTAACAGCCCGTTCTCCTTAGACCGTCAGTAAGCTTGCGTCAACTAACAGTTCGCGGGACCAATGGATTCTACATTGTACAAACAGAGCATCTGCAGAAGCTACTTCATATGATACGCCATCGTTATTTTCAGCTATAACGAAAAAAAAAAACCCCGTCCCTCCAGGCTCCAGCGGACTCGCCATACGTGCACACGCCAAACGCCATCACTGTTTGACTGTTTCACCCGGCCACCCAGCAGCCACGGCAAATTTGGGTAGCCGCCGCTGCTGCCCCACGCCATCCTGCCATCCGGCGAATCCTCCTCCGTTCCCGCCTCTCCATACTCATCGCTCGATGGCTACACTACTCTACTGACGGCTCTATTATTGTTCATATACCGACGGCCGCCGCCTAGCAGTTAGCGTCATACTCGCCCGGCCCCTGCTTCAGCCGCGGGTTGTTGGAGAAGCTGCAACGGAACACGATACACGCACTGTTCGGAGATCGAGCCGAGCATTTGAACATCACGGGCTCATGGAGACGAAGCTCTTCCTACCTACCTGGTGAGGGGAATGTTCTGGAACGGTCCCGTCGTCGGGATCGTGCCGCACAAGTCATTGCTCGAGAAATCCCTGCAATGGGAAGGAACAAGAACAGTGTTGTTATGACATGCATCCATGCCACCGACGGTGCGCGTAGAGAAATGGTGAAACAAAAAAAAAGAGTGAGATGTGTGATCTGAGAACACCGGCTTACACAGTTCCAAGGTTGGGCAGTCCAGACAGCTCCCTGGGGATCGGTCCCGTCAGGCGGTTGTGCTTGTGGTCGATACGCCTGCCAAGCCAAACGTTCAATCGTTCATGCAGTGCACGTGTTGGAAGGGGTACATGAGCTGAGCTGAGAGACAGTGACTTACAGGACCTTTAGGGACTTGAGGTTCCCAAGCGTCGTTGGTAGGGGTCCTGAAAGGTCGTTGTTGTACAGGTCCATGCTGATCAGGTTCTTCAACTTGCCGAACTCTGACGGGATCGGGCCCTGCAGACTGTTGCCGCTCATTTCCCTGCTCGATCAGGTGCCAAAAGTGACGGAGAGTCAGATGGAATAGCAGACATGGATATAAAGCAGGACAGGAAAATTTCAGTTCAGAGCCCATGCATGTGGATCGGAACGAAGAGCGTACATGTACTGCAGCTGCTCCAGTTTCCCCAGCTCCGGCGGCAGAGGACCGGACAATCTCATGTTAGGAAGCTCGCTGTCCGTCGAGAAAAGAAATTATCACGCTATTAAAATTCAATTCAATCAATAAATAAATAAAAAATCTGTGTTCCGTGTAGCCGAACACAAGTGTGTCACGGCCCATGATGCGGGCTCGCGCAAGTCATCAGCAGCACATGGGCCTGGGCCGGCTTCGGAAGAGGAGGCAGCAGCACAGGGGCCTGGGCCGCAACTGAGGCGCTCCAGCAGAGCAAGGGCGCCGAGCACGCGCACCAGCGGGGATGAGTGGGCGGACGGCGTGAAGCGGTGATCTGGGATATGGATCGGATATATGTGTAATAGGTTAGAGGAGAGAGGCATCAGAAATTGTATCCATCAACTTGTTCCTCACGGTCCTCTCTGAACCTTCCTCCTTGCTTGCTCTCCCTTTTGCCCCTTTCCAATCAATCGCTACTTGCCTCAATCTGGAGAACTTCGTTTGTTCGTAACAAATTGGTACTCGAGCCCTCGATTCTCGGCCGATTTTGTTTTTTCTCTGCCTTGATCTGGATCGTAACCCCCGACGGCTGGTTGATCGTCCTAGGTGCTGCGGCAACGAGTGATGAACCCGTAGGTCCGTGCCGAGGCTGATCTGATCGGTGTAGGAGTCAATCGCCGGAAATCGATTCACCCTGGAGCCCCACCAAATCGACCACGAGCATTTCACCCGATTCCGCAAGCAGCTCGGTGCCATGGATCTCAACACCAAACTCATTCTCGATGAGCTCAAGTCGGTGCAAACCAACCTCACAAATCGCATCGATGCGGTCGAGCACTCCATTGGTGCCCGCGTCGGTTCCTTGGAGGACGCCGCGAAGGTGCTCGACGCCTGGAAGCCAATGATGGACGCCTCCGTGGCGGAACTGCGCGCGGAGATTGGAGCCTTCAGGAAGACGGAGGAGAGGGTGGAGCTGCTGCGGGAGGAGATGACTGCGCTGCGCAAGTCGGTGAGCCGCTCCATCCTCGGCGCCACGCAGGCCGCGTCGACCGGCGTGCTGCAGCGTCCCAAGGAGTCTCCGGCGTGGATTCCCGCTGGCTGGACTCACTTCCTCCCATTAGGGCCCCACGAGGAATCAAGTCACCGGGGATTTGAGTCTTATGCTCAATCCCCGGTCAAGGGTACGTTCATACCGCCTGATCCCGATTCCAAACCCAAGCTGTATCGATCCTATTCGAGTTCAGCTCTCGTTGCTGGCACTCAGGGCGGTTCGGGAGGGGTACATGGGTCTCTGGATCATCGTGGTCATGAGGATGGGGATGGGGGCAATTTTCATCTACCTAAAATCAATTTTCCTCCATTTGATGGTTCCAACCCAAAGTTGTGGCTCAGGCGTTGCTTAGATTATTTTGAGATGTACCTTGTTCCATGCCGTCGCTGGGTCAAGGTGGCCATCATGCACCTGTCTGGCGCCGCAGCGTGTTGGTTGCAATCGATGGAGGAGCAGGTTCGTTCGGGGGGATGGGAGCAGTTTTAGGAGCTGGTCATGAACCGCTTTGGTAAAGATCAGCATGAACTGCTAGTTCGTTAGCTCTTTCACATCCACCAGTCAGCCACAGTCCAAGACTATATTGACAAATTCACTGGGTTGGTAGATCAGTTACTTGCTTATGGCCGTAATACCGATCCAATTTACTATGCTATGCGTTTTGTCGATGGATTGCGTCTTGACATTCGTCTTCTTTGTTCATATGCAACGTCCCTAGAATCGGATATCGCTGTGTCCTTGCTCGCATTGCGAATGAATTGGTGGAGCCTGTGCGTACGAAGAAGCTTCGGCGCCCTGAACCATTTACCTTTGCAAAGGCTCCGGTGCGCGGTCCACCTCTGCCGCTGCTGAATCCGCCGCCGCGTCCGAACCGTCAAGATAAGCCCGTGCCACCACATCAGCTTCCAGAGCGTCGTGCTCGTGGTATGGATGACAAGCTCTCCACGTTGTGTGAGTATCGGCGTGCTCGTGGTCTCTGCTTTTGATGTGGCGAGAAATGGGCCCGTGATCATCGGCCGTCAGGAAGCAATTCAATTGCATGCCTTGCAAGAGCCGTGGGAGGTCTGTTTCTCACGGGGTATCGCTTGAGGATGGCTATGATGCTCGCTTGGAAGTCAAAACTGCGGAAGCTCAAGTGTGTATGTCTATATCTATGGCTACTTCTGGTGGTCCACCTTCAGTCACATCTATTCAGGTTCATGGGGCACATTGTGGTCATCTAGTTCACATCCTCATTGATTCTCGGCAAGACTCACACCTTTGTCGGTCTTTTTCTTGCTTGTTCGATTGCAAGGTCGATTGGTGCTTTCACACCTCCACTCAAGGTCATGGTGGCTGATGGTTCCCGCTTGCTTTGCTCCAATCAATTCGAGAACCTCGTTTGGACCGCTTAGGTCTCATGATTTTGTCTCTCAAGCTAAGGTGTTGCTGTTGTCTTCCTATGACCTCATTGTTGGCATGGATTGGTTGGCTTCTTATAGTCCGATGCACATTGATTGGCAACACAAGTGGTTGCTTATTACACAAGGTCAACAACGATTAGCTTCTTGCGGGGTTCTCTTCACTTTCTGCCACCGTGTTCGATGGTGCGGTATCGCAAGAAAGTGTTATCGGATGATTTAGTTGCTGATCAGGGAGCAATACCACCGGAGGTCTCAACACTCTTAGCTGAATTTCAGTCAGTCTTTGCTCCTCCTTCAGGTTATCCTCCAGCCCGTGATTGTGATCATACCATTCCTCTGCTACCGGGAGCCAGTCCATTTTTGGTCCGTCCGTATCGCTACCCTCCAGCTGTCAAGGATGAGATCGAGCGACAGATTTCAGAGATGCTGCAATCCGGAACCATTCAACATAGTAACAGCCCATTTTCTTCATCAGTGTTGCTAGTCAAGAAAAAGGATGGTACCTTCCGCTTTTGCGTTGATTTCCGACAGTTGAATGCCCTCACGGTCAAAGCTAAGTATCCGGTACCTGTTATTGAGGAGCTACTAGATGAGTTGACGAATGCTTCTTGGTTTTCTTGTCTGGATCTCACTGCTGGATACCACCAGATCTGTTTGAAAACCGGTGAGGAATTTAAGACGGCCTTTCAAACTCATTTGGGCCATTACGAATTTCGAGTTATGGCCTTCGGTCTCACTGGAGCTCCAGCTACTTTCCTGAAAGCAATGAATACCACTCTTCGGTCCCTCCTGCGCAAGTGCGTGTTGGTGTTCTTTGATGATATCCTCATTTTTAGCCGTACTTATGAAGAACATCTGGAGCACATTCATCAGGTGCTCGAATTACTGCAACGTGATCAGTGGCAGGTCAAGATGTCCAAATGTCGCTTTGCTCAGCGCCAGTTACGTTATCTTGGTCATATCATTTCGGCTGAAGGTGTTGCCACCGACTTGAGAAGATTCAGCAGTGCTCCATGGCCGTCTCCCCAGAACAGGTGAAGGAGCTACCTAGTTTTTTGGGTCTTATGGGTACTACAGAGCGTTTTGTCCGGACTTTCTAAGATCATCTCGCGTCCTTTGACTGAGCTGTTACGCATGCATAAGGGAGCCATTTTATCCGGACCAAGTTGCGGAGCAGGCCTTTTGGCTCTCAAACAGGCACTTACCTCAGCTCCCGTGCTGGCCCTTCCGGACTTCAGTAAGCCATTTTCTGTTGAAACTGATGCAAGTGGTACTGGTATTGGAGCAGTGCTGATGCAGGTGGTCATCCATTGGCCTATTTGAGCGAGCTTTGGGCCCTCGTTCACGGGGTTTGTCCACTTATGAAAAGGAATATATGGCCATTCTGATGGCATTGGAGCAAAGGCGCGATTACCTTCAGCATGCTGAGTTCCAGATAGTTACGATCATCGTAGTCTTGTGCAACTCACCAAGCGGCGCTTACACTCCTTGGAAACGAAGGTGTTTGCTAAATTGGTTGGCCTTCAAAGACAAGATTGTATATCGCATGGGTGTTGACAATGGAGTGGCCGACGCTTTGTCTCGCGTTCCTCCGGTCACCGGGCTGCGGTTTTAGTATGTCAACCGTAGTGGCTTGCGGACGTGCTTTCATCATATGCACAGGATGCCTGTGCTCAGGAACTCCTTACTAAGCTCTCCAGTACACCTGATGGAGTGTCGGGTTTCACTTTGAGGGATGGCTTACTCCGTTATCACAATCGAGTTTGGGTGGGTCACCACAAGGATCTGCAAGCTAAATTGATGGCAGCAGTGCATTCCACAGCTATTGGGGGACATTCCGGTGTCACTGTTACTTATCGCCGTCTCAAGCAACTCTTTGCTTGGCAAGGAATGAAATCAGCTGTCCAGGCTTTTGTAGCGGCTTGCACTATCTGTCAATAGGCCAAACTGGACCGAGCCAAACTTCCAGGTCTGTTGCAACCTCTTCCAGTCCCTTAGGGTGCTTGGTCAGTCATCTCTATGGACTTTATCGAAGGGCTTCCTTCTTCCGACGGCTTCAACTGCATCTTAGTGGTGGTCGATTTGTTTTCCAAGTACTCTCATTTTCTAGCCCTCAAGCATCCATTTACCGCTGCATCTGTTGCTCAGCTATTTCTCTCGCAAGTGTATAAACTGCATGGTCTTCCCCAAGCCATCATCTCAGATCGGGATAAGATCTTTACTAGCAACTTTTGGCGCGAGTTATTCAAGTTGGCTGGTGTTGAGTTGCGCATGAGTACGGCGTACCACCCACAGTCCGATGGTCAGACTGAGCGGGTGAATCAGTGTCTGGAAACATTTCTCCGCTGTTTCACTCATGCCTGTCCTCGCAATTGGCGGCAGTGGCTGGACCAAGCGGAGTTTTGGTATAATACAAATTGGCATTCTGCTCTCGGCCGCTCACCATTCGAAGTTTTGTATGGTTATGTTCCCAGGCACTTTGGTCTTGCTGGAAGCTCGGAGGTTCCAGTGGTAGATTTGGCCACACGGTGGTGACAGAGATCTTATGCTTGATGTCATTCAAAGACAGATTCTTAACTGCCAAGTAGCATGAAGAAGTATCTTTGATCAACATCGCTTCGGAAACGCCCACTTTGAGGTAAATGATTGGGTGTTTGTGAAGCTTCAACCATATATTCGGTCTTCATTGGTCGTGTAGCGTAATCGAAGTTAGCCTTCAAATATTTCGGACCATACTTGGGTGGTTGCATCGGTGGGAACCATAGCATATCGATTGGAATTGCTGGCCTCTTCATCTGTGCATCCGGTTTTCATGTGTCCACAGCTTGAAGAAGTCCGTTGCACAACAAAGCATCACAGCTCACCCTCCTTCGGCTAATGTGATCCGGAGTATTCTCGAAAGGATCTTGCAAGTCCGGCTTATTGCTTCAAAGGTACGCTGCTCCATCTCTCAAGGACCGATCAAGTGGTCTCATTTGCCGGTTTAGCTAGCTACTTGGGAGAACTTGGACCATCTCCGGCGAGTTCCTCATTGCATTGTCTGGAGCCCGCTTGGCGCGCAAGGGGAGAGGATGTCACGGCCCATGATGCGGGCTCGCTCAGCAAGTCATCGATGAGCACATGGGCTGGGCCGGCTTCGGAAGAGGAGGCGGAAGACAGGGGCTGGGCTGCAATCGAGGCGCTCACAGAGCAAGGAAGGCGTTGAGCACGCACACCAATGAGGATGAGTGGGCGACCCAGGCGTGAAGCGGTGATCCGGGATATGGATCGGATATATGTGTAATAGGTTGCAGGAGAGAGGCATCGTAAATTGTATCCATCAACTTGTTCCTACGGTCCTCTCTCGAACCTTCCTCCTTGCTTACTCTCCCATTTGCCCGCTTCCAATCAACTCACTACTTGCCTCAATCAAGAACTCGTTTGTTAAGAATAAAGTGTTTCTCCGCCTAGCGTGGCACGATCCATATCCACAAGGAGCAAGCCCACCACCCATCCACCAGAAGAGATCGGATCACAAACTTACATACGGTCGACGGTTGTTATGCGTGGTTGCACATCACGCAACACCGTGCAGGTTCACCGTGCTCGGGTCCTGGCTCGCGAAAGCACGCCGTCGGTGTCCTTCACGCCAGTAGTGCAGGCCATCGGCCGCTCTCCTTCCTCGTTGCGCAGCCACGGGCCAAGGACGCCCTAGCCTTAGAACACGGTGTGGTCGGCGAGGCGTGCGGTGTGTGAGGAAAGTAGCAAGTGCTGAAGGTGCGATCTGTGGTGTTCTCGCCTCGAGTTGTGATCTTGGGTGGTTTTTAAGGAGGGACGGAGAAGGCTTAGAGCCACGGGTGGATGGCTGTGTGGGTTACCGTGTGATTTGAACTCCAGTCTAGTCTTGGGTGTTTTTAAAAACTAGTATAATGCCCGTGCTAACGCATGCGGTTTTATTTTAGAAATACACATAAAAACAACCAATGTTTTTTTTTTCCATAGTTCAACTTTACATAATTGTATTTGAGTATGTATACAATCCAAAAAACACTTTTGCACCACGGCTTCCTCCTCACCTCCACGAAAGGGCGTGAGCGCAATCGGGAT